GGGAGCGCCGGTCCAACGTCGACGGGCCATATGCGGGGTACTAGTGGCAAAGTACAACCGCATAACGGAGAAAATGCGCGAAACAATGAGTGTGGGAGAGGTGGAAGCCAGGATGGAGTTCCTCTCGACGATACTCAAGGTCCAGTTGGCGAAGGAAACGGGAGGAGAGACGGATTGCCCAGGGAGAGATCATTCCTCGAGTGTGCCCAGGAAATGATCGACCTAAGCGCAAGGGAAGAAGAGACTCGGATGGACGTGGAAGAACCAGGGTGGATCCGGGTGAATGACAGACGACCCCGGACAGCCCCGATGGGTTGGAAGAAGAGAGAAACGATACAGCCGAGCGGAGAAAAGGTCAGGATGGGTGAAAAAAGATCCGGACAGGCGAGGCCGAGGAATGGACCCCGCAGGGAAGACAGGAAATGTCATGGGTGTGGAAAGCCAGGACATTTAGTTGCACAATGTCCGCGCACTAGATGTTTCGAGTGCGGTACCGAAGGGCATATTGCTAGGCAGTGCCCGTACATATTCCGGAGGAGAGAAAGAACTCAAGACGAGCCCATGGAGGTAAACACGCAGAAGTTGACAAGACGGGCTAGGATGCAGCGGAAGGACGGATCTTCGGAGGAGGCAACCGAGGAGTCGGGAACTTCGGGGACAGAGACGGACGAACCAGGTAGCAGTGGAGGCGAAGGAGGCAGGAGCAGCCAACGGACCGAGCAGCGACGAACGGCGGCGGTAAGGAGGAAGCTGGGCGGCATCTGAGGAGTGTGGCAGCAGAGAGGCGACCGCACAGCAACATGCAACAACATCCGAGGTAAGCCATGCTGGTTGCCAATTATCGAGGTAGACGGGGGAGTAAAGTGCCTCGTGGACACCGGGAGCTCGAGCACTATTATGACCAGAGGGGCGTTAGGGAAAGTGTGCGGGAGTGAGAGGGCACTCCGGATCCAAAAATGCGATTGCCAGCTAATCACTCTGGGTGGCCCCTGTAGCGTAGAGGGAGAAGCGACAATAAGACTTGATCGGTGGGCAGGAAAAGAGGGCGAACTGAAGGTACACGTAGTAAAAAACATGACTCGGGAATACCAGGTCATAGTAGGGTGCGATTTGTTAGGGCAGGTAGGGGCGAGCATTAGGAATCGTAGAGGAGCCTGGAGTGTTAGGTTGGGAAAGAGGAAGTTCGGATGTATAGGGGTCGCGAGAGAAAGAAGGGTGCGGATAGGGGCGGTGAACAGAGTGGAGGACTGGAGGAAGTTGCTACAGGAGGAGTTTAGGGACATTTTCTTCAGGGAAGGTGAGGTATTAGGGGTAACAGGGAGGACGGTGCATGAAATCCCACTGAAGCAGGATAGGGTAACTTACGTGAAAGAGAGAAGATACCCGCAGGCGTTGAGGCAGCATATTCGAGAGGAGCTAGATAGTCTAAAAGAACAAGGGATCATAGTTGATAGCACCTCACCATTCAATAGTCCCCTGTGGGCGGTGAAGAAGAAGGCAGCACCGGGGGATAATAAGGAAAAATACAGGGTGGTAGTAGACTATCGTAAATTGAACGATAACACGGTAGACGAGAAGTACCCGATCCCAAGATTCGAAGATATACTCGATAGGTTGAGTGGGGCCGTGGTCTTTAGCACGTTGGACCTTAAGGCGGGATATCACCAAATACGGATGCACCCGGAAGACCAACACAAAACAGCGTTTACATTCGAAAGGGGGCATTATGAATTCACCAGAATGCCGTTTGGTCTGAAGAATGCGCCCATAACATTTCAGCGTCTGATGGACGAATTTTTGAGGGGTATCGATGACTCGGTATGTCAGGTATATATGGATGACCTGCTGATTTTTAGCAGAACGGAAACCGAACACGTGGGACATCTGAGGTCAGTATTCGAGAGGCTCCGGCAATTCGGGCTGAAATTGTCAAGCGAGAAGTCTCTGCTGGGACAAACGCGGATCAATTTTTTAGGCCACACTATCTCTAGCGAGGGGGTCAGACCGGATGCGGCAAAGGTGGAGGCAATCACAAGGATGGCGGTACCACGGGACGTGAAGGGGATCCGTAGGCTTCTTGGGACGCTGAACTACTACCGGAGATTCGTACCTGAGATGGCAGAGTATTTGGTACCCATTAACAATTTGCTGAAGAAAGGCGCGAAGATTGTGGTGACACCAGAGATGGAGAATAATATCCGAAAATGTATGAATAGGTTGCTGACAGAGCCGGTGTTAGCGTTCCCGGATTTTGAGAAGCTCTTTAATATAACCACCGATGCGAGCGAATACGCGTTAGGGGCCGTTTTGTCCCAGGGGGGGAGTGAGGGTGAACGACCGATAGCATACGCGAGCCGTCGGCTTACGGGTGCGGAATCGCGATACAGCGCTTTGGAGAGGGAGCTACTCGCGATAGTGTGGGCTATCGACCATTTCAGGCCATACGTATTTGGGAGGAAGTTTCGAGTCCACACCGACCACAAACCCCTGCAGTGGGTAGGGAAACTTAAAGAAACCTCAGCTAGGGTCACGCGATGGAAGGAAGTCCTTAGTCAATACAATATAGAGGTGGTGTATAAGCCGGGAAAGGAGAACGTGGTGGCGGACTGGCTCTCTAGGGCCATCATGATCAACGCGGTAGAAGAGGACGGGGGAGGACCATCGCGAGACGTGCGCCAATTCTTGAGTGAATGGACTCCCGATGGCGAAGGAGCGATGATATCGTCGGTATAGATGACAGGGGAGAGTCCCCGGAAGAGGAGAGCTCAGCGGAGGAAAGAGCAGTGGAAATGGAGGAGATAGACGACATCATCAATGACAAGCATCGTCAGGTAATCTGGAAAACGAGAGTAGCAGGGATGATGAAAATAGATTATCGAAGATATGGGAAAAGCAAGATTCGCGTCATCTGGTCGCAACCCGGGGTGAGTGAAGAGCAAATTTGTACGGCACTGAAGGACGCCACGGAACCTGGAAAGACGCACCATCTTTATGTTGGGAATAACACGGTATGGGATAAAATAAAGCGGATGTGGAGATCCGAGCGAATTGGTGTGGACAGAACACTCATCCGTTGCAAGTACGCAGTGGAAACTATACAGGATGAGGAACAGCAACAGGCAGTCACATTAGCTTATCACCAGGGAAAACCAACCACCGAGGCGTGAACGAGACACTGCAGGCATTACGTCGAAAGTATTTCTGGTGGGGCATGAAAAAATCCATCCAAGAGGTCATAGGGAAATGCGAGGTGTGTATGCGCACGAAATATGATCGACACCCCCCCAGAGGATTCAGGAAGAGACACCGACGGGGAATATGCCACTACAGGACCTCCAGATTGATACATTTACCTGGAGAGGGTTCAAGTGGGTCACGGTCATCGACGTCTTTAGCAAGGTAGCTATGGCACACCAGGTCATGGACAAGTCTGCCAACGCAGTTGCGGAAGCCCTACAAACCTGGGTGCAGTTCTACGGGGTCCCCGAGAGGATCACATCGGACGGTGGTAGGGAGTTTGACAATGCCGCGATTAGGGAGGAGGTGAAACGACTAGGGATTCGTTGGCATTATAACACCCCGGGACATCCTAAAGGTAGAGGCGGCATTGAGCGGTTGCACAGCACGCTGAGTGACCACATCCGGGTGTATCAGGGGAAAAAGGGTTGGAGCCGGATGTTGCAATGAAGAAAGCGGTAACAGCCTACAACCACTCGATTCACTCCGTCACGGGATTTTCGCCCGTGGAAGTACTATTCGGGATGCGCAGGCCAAGGCGAGATTGCGGGGAAACAACGGTTAATGAACCATTAGTCGAGCAAATCCAGAGCAATAGGGTGGAGGTGGAAAAGACGTGGGGAAGAGTAACGGCGAAAATTAAGCGGGAAAAGGAGAAGCGGGTAGAGAGGCAAAATGTTCGCGTACGTGACCAAATGGGTGATCTAAAGATCGGGACAATAGTGTACCGTAGAGTAGGAACCAACAGAGGGAAACAATTGTTACGATACGAGGGTCCATTCAGAGTGGTTGCTATTAGGGAGCATAATCTGCTAACGATCGAAAGCGTTAATGAACCTAGAAAGAGGAGAACTGTTCACATTGAACAATTGAAGCTCCCAATGATAGAACCGGAACAAACTAATGGATTCGTAGTACCCTCACCGCGGTTATGAGAAATATGTTTTTTTTTCTTGCTGTCAAAACGGAAATATGGTGTATTTTTTTTTTATTTTTGTGTGTAAATAGTATCATAGCAATACAGTAGAGGAAAGTGTATTATTTTTTTTTTTAGGTTATTAAGAGTTCTGTTCTTACAAGCAAGTGTTGTGTTTAGTTTCTATGTTTTTTTTTCTTTCTTTCTCGTATGTGAGTGAGTTTTAGTTGAGTTTTAGTTTCTTTCAAGTGTATACTTGTAACAACAATTGTAAGGTATTAAGGCCGATAACCGTTGGCTCCGATCTAGGAATATCTAAGTTTCCGAAAATCCTATTCGTAAACTGGTGGGGGGAGATAAAGACCGGAGACTGGCGATATCAGCCTTAATGCCATCCTGAATGTAAATAAACATCCCAAATGTATATAAGAAGGATTACTAGATGAATAAAGCAGTATCTATTCTGAAACCGTGAGTGTTGCATCTCAACCCCTTTCCTTTCTTTTTTTTTATTGTTAGAGTCCGCCGACGCTTAACTTATATATATATATATATATATATATATATATATATATATATATATATATATATATATATAATTACGTAGGAAGAAAAAGAAAGGAATTATTATTATAATTTACTAAATCACTGGCTGAATATATATATATATATATATATATATATATATATATATATATATATATATATATATATATATATATATATTCGGGCTGAGATCCCCCCCCCCAAAAAAAAAAACTAAATCCTGAATCAGCCAGTGATTTAGTGAATTATAATAATAGTGATTCATTAATTGATACAATAGTTATATATATAAATACCTGACCTGTGAAGAGCAAGAAACAGGTAGAGGAATGTGAAGGCAAAGAATACTGCTGTACTGATGATCAACAATCTCCGATGTTGGACGTTCAAGAACCACCGGTCATTTAAACCTGAACAGCATAGAAACCAGTATATAGCGATAATAATCAGTATTATGAAGGACACTATAATATTATAATATTTAAACACAAAAATATACTTCTATTTTCACACGAACGTTTTTCTGTGAAAAAGTAAAAGACTACCGTTTCACTTCTCCGATTAACGAAAATCTCACGTAAATTATGGTGTATAATGTCAGAGCCTTCGTCAATTTGATCTTGAACCATTGTGAAATAACGAGCAGTTTCTTGTCACTTCACTCTAAAGTTAAAGGATTCCGAACAGTTTGTCCTGATTAATTCCGAGGTAACTTATTCGCCCAATCGGAACAAGCGGGTTATTATGAACAGAACTACAGGTTTACAATAAGGAATTGAAGTGGGATTCCTCGAGTTCATCCTAATCCTGATATTACAATACCATTTTTCAAGGTTTGTATTATGCGATTAAAAAGCTGAGGGTCAGCCATTCACGGATTAGAATTGGTGAGAACGATGTGGTGGAATAAAAAGTTACTGAATACCATTAAAGTGAATGGTATTCCTAAAATAGTGATAAAAAGTGGCTTTTCATTAATATGAAATGTAAGTACTGAATTATTGCTGGTGAAGGGGCAAAATCAAGAGCGTTTTAAATTATAACACATATATAAATCATTTAGGGATGGCTATGTAGTTGACTGTTGAAATTATAAGGATGAAAAAAATTGTCTGGATGTTCAGTCAAATATTTTCTTTAATTAGTTAGCGGAAGTTTCGACACAAACATGTGGATCATCAGGGTTAAAAATAAATTACATAAAATAAAGTCAGAAAAAAAATATATACTAGGGGGTAACTCTCCCTCCATTTTACGAATTATACAACTGTTCGTTTAATTATAGAACTCGTTGCTCAAATTGCATAACTTTAATTTACATGTATCCTGTAGTTCAGATTGTATTATTTTTTATCAACATAAAAAAAAAAAATTTCACGTACACATTTTTAGTCTAAAATCTTTATTTTATATTAGAAGAGTAGGAGGTAACAGGAGCTCATCACACATGCAATTAAATGAACAGCAGTAGAATTTGTAAAATAATAGTCGAGCTCCTCTCATCTCCTACTATATTAATATTTTAGTAGTTTATTTTAATAAAATAAAAAATAAAAGTCATTAAAAACTTTTTTATATAATAGAGAGATAAAATTACAAGAGTAAAGATTAACGTTAATAAGATAATAGTAATAGGAGTAATTAAATAAGATAATATTAATAAGAGTAAATAATAACATAAGAAAAATTATAAATATAAGAATAGAAAAAGGTGAAACGTACAAATGAGGCAACGTTTATATAGACGTAACAATAATATAAACATTAAAATATGCTAAACAAATCTTACAAATAAATGAAAAAGATAATTATTTCAAAAGTAAAGATGAATAAACCAAATAATTAGTATAATTAAAACAATTTAATAAATAATAAATATTCAATAACAACGTATATAAATAAAAATATAAACATATATAAATTTAAAAAAAAACAGTGTTTAAGAAATATAAATAGTTTCTCAAGAATTACCAACGGTTTGAAAGCCGGACAAGAACTGAGAGTTTATGGGAATCGGTTTTAAGTGGGAGGTGTAAAAGGGAAGGGATAGGGTAACGGAAATTTAACCGAATAAAAAAAAAAAAAATCATATTCTAATTAATCGAAGTAAAGCATTATAAAATAAGCCATAGAAATATTGATGTTAAATTGTTCTTCGACTTGTTCTTAAGTACAATGAAAATTCATTTTTCATTTTATGCAACCGATTGATCGAAACTATTTTATGGACTAGTATAATATTTGTTCACAATAAAGTCAATGGTTATAATGAGGTAAGAGTTCGTTCACGCTATATTTAAAGACAATATAAATAAATATAATGGAATCAAAATAATAATATTGAAAACAAAAACTATATACAATAAACAAAAATAAAATAAACATTAAGATAAGTATTGTATAATAACATTTTTAACACAGATACACTATAATATACGTTTTACAATCAGCCAAAAAATTCCGAACCAGTCGTGTTTCTCCAGCAGTGGAGAGGAAAGGAGAAAACCAGAAGATTTTTAACTACTACTTTTAAATTTTGAAAAATCTAAACGATTTATAACCAACATTTTCTTCATAATTAGAATCCTTTCTAGGTTTTTAGTAAAAAAACAATTTTTACATAAGAAATTTCACTCATTAATTCCGCCTACACGCAGGGACAGCAGCTGAGATCAGTCAACACTGCCAGTGAAATGGCTGAAATAGACTTACACACTAGTTCAGGTGATATTTGTGATATGATAATGCAATGAATAATAATATTCCAAAAAAGTTGTAAAGTTTAATGAAGCATAAAATGTAATATACATTTTATCATGAGAACTCAATTACATTCAAGAACCACTTAAACGCCATTTCATATAGTTAGTTTAATATACTAGTTGGTTTCTTTCTTTTTCTTCCAAAGTAATTATTCTTATATGTATGAAAGTTTTCAGACAGAACCTCCTCCTCCAAAAATCAAATCTTGGATCCACTAGTGATTGAGAGTTAAAATTTTGTTGAAAGTTGTTATTAAAATAGTTGAACGATTATTGAGAGATCTGAATCATAGCCTTTTGACCGTTATAGTGGTGACACATTTCTTTCTTTTAATAGGTTATAAAAATACAATTAACAATCGTTTTATATTATATAATTTACGTTTGAGGGCCAGAGGTTGTTTTTTTCTTTCCTGTTTCTCTAAATATAATTGTAGGACTTATCAACAAACATTCCCGATCGAAATATAGGATTTATTATATCATCTAAGGCCTGAAATGGGATTTTTACCAGGAGGAGAAAGTTTAATTTTTTCTACAACTCCCAGATTTTGTAACATTTTATATATATATATATATATATATATATTTTAGGTACTTCGAATTAAACATCGCCAGATAATAATATTAACTTGAACCATTGACTGAATTAAGGATAAAACAGCCATAAGTAGAAATAAATGTTTTTTCCTTATATAAAAAAGAAATTTTCTCGAAAATCTATATTCTGGCCCCCTTGACTTGGACGAATCCTGTATAAATCCTGTCACTATCACTAACTTGCTTGTGGCTGATAAGAACCTGATGAATTTCTAAAAAAATAGTACTTAAGAAATAAAGAAATAAAAGATTAGCACATATTTACTCGTTAAAAATGTAAAAGAACGTGAAAGCCTTGTTACTTAAACATTCACTGCCACGCCACCACAGGCGGATCTAACGTGAGAGGGATGGCTTTCTGGCTCAAGCTCCCCAAAATGATAAAATATAAACATGTTTTATGAAAAATATTATCTCTAAAAGTATTTATTATTCGTCTTACTACATTTAATAGGACTTAAAGAATCACTTAAACACCACTTCATATAGGTATATTGCTTCTTTCTTTCTTCTGAAGCAATTATCGTAATATATACATAGTCCTGTAATAAATATTGTTACAAAGGAATATATACAGATTTCAACAGAAAAATTATTTTTTCAATAACTTTATTAGAAAATAAATGTATCAGTCGTGATACAGATTCCTTTTTATCAAATTATTAACATCCGCCTGAAACTACGTAAATAGCTTCATCTCATCGTAACTTACAGATATTTTATTTACGAAAATTCTCGGAATTGGTGCAATCTGGAGAGGAGCAAACCTTGTCTAATTAGTAAGGTACGAAAAACGCGTAAATACCTATTTGATTGCCACTTGGATCGCAAGATAATTTGATCACAAAATTAATACAAAAAAAGTTTGCATACAAAAATATTGGGTCGTCTACATAACCTCGTTATTTGGAGAATTTGGAGGCGTAGTTCACGCCAAACGCCTCAATATTTTTTAATCCATCTTTTTTCCTGATTTGTGCTCAAATTATCTTACGATTCAGGAGGAAAGCAAATCTTATCTTACGAGTTTTTAATATCTAATTAAATATTCAAGGTTTGCCTTCCTCCAGATTGAAAAATGGAGGTTTGTGGTGCCATCAAAGCAAACTCCCCACCAAACCATCACTGAGAAACCCACTTTCAATGAGAAACCTACTCCTGGGCTTCTTTAGAGCTGTGTGCGTACACACGATCATTTATGCTATTAGATTTTTCTTCAATTGTAAAAATTTTCCCATCGCTACACAGAATCTTTCGATGTGATGACCATTGGTGTAACATCCAAGGAGCAGTTTGCATCTATCCACTCTAATTTGTTTTAGGAAAGTGGTTAGCCTTTGACCTGTCATCCTTTGAAATGCACCCATCCTAAGGTCATTTTTTATTGGGCGAGGCATTGATCTGACGGAGATTCCTGTTTCCCGAATATTTCGTTTTCGAATGGGATTTCTTCTGATTCGAGCAACAACTACTCTCACTGCATTTGCCGTTTTCACAGTGCGTTGACGGCCCGGTCGAGTTCTGTCATTTACAGATAGAATCTCATTATATCTATTAATAGTGAGGTACACGAACATACGGTAGGTTTTAAAAGTTGAAAGTTTCTGACCTACATTTTCCAAAATTGTGTAAGGTGATCACAGCTATTCGGTTTTCTTTATCACCCCACTCCATGTGAATAAAGAAAAATACAAACTAATTGGGATTATTATCCTGAGATGTAAAGAAAAGAACCTGATAGAGGTAAGGAATATCTAAATAATACCCAAGGATGTAAACAAAGTTCAACTTTTGTAACAATATTTATGACAGAACTAGGTACATACAAAAATAAATCTTTTGGGCTGAAATCTCCCTCCTCCCTAAATGGGGTCCTGAATCCGCTAGTACACGCCACCATATATGAATACCTTAATTCTTCTTTACTCAAATAAATGGTTTACACCTTATAATAGTATAAGCATCCAGGTTGTTTTCAATATGTTTTTAATCCAGAAATTCATCTTAAAACTATAATCGAGAGACAATAATAATTACATTAAAACAAC